TCCAATAAATTCTACCTTAGAGAGCTTAGACGTTTCGGTCACCTCTCTGCTGTAGTCTTGCCCCATTCCTCACTTCAAAAAGCTTCCAGGTCACTGATAATCGTTGGTTTCATGTTACCACTGCTTTCTTCAAATTCCAAGAAATATTTATAATCACATTTAAATCTGAAGGCCACTCAAGAACATTGTACGACTGATCTTTGATCCAAGCTTCTGTAGATTTGGATTTATACTTTGGGATGGCTGTCCATCCAATGATCACCAAGCTTCAGTCTCTGCACTGAAAACATCACCTTGATACTTTAAATAATTCATGATTTCCTGCTAGAGTCGAGATTTCCACTATCTGCAATAACAAGACTAATGTTTGACCATGGAGATGGTGTTCTTCTGCTCTAGTTTGGTCATAATCATTAATCATATTGTGCTTTCAACCCCTGAAAGGTTTTCTGATTCAACTCATTTTAAACTTATGAATAAGGCTGCCGGCTGTGTCTCTGGGAACATTTAGTGTTAAAGGGATAGTTCACCCAAAAAAAGTTACTCACCCTCATGTTTTTTTACAACCCAATCTTCGGAACATGAATTAAGATATTTTTGATGAAATCTGAGAGCTGGATCACTAGTCCATAGGCTTCTTGAGGGATTGAAACTTGCCGGCCTCGAAAAGTTATCAAAGACATAGTTAAAATTGTCCAAGTGTATACAGTGGCTCAATCTTAACTTTATCAAGCGACGAGAACACTTTTTGTGCGCAAAAAAAAACAAAAATATTGACTTTATTTCAACTATTCATTTCCTTCTCTTTGCGCCTCTAGTCAGTTAACGTAGTGTGATAGCGTAGAGCTACGTCACACGTAGGCTCACTATTGGCTGACGCAGGTCAAGTGTGTGATGCGTGTGACATACAACAACAGATCATACGCTGTTAAACTAGTAACCTGGCTCAAGGCCCAGAGAGAAGCAAATGAATAGTTGAAAAAAGTCGTTATTTTTGTTGTTTTTTCTGCGCACAAAAAGTGTTCTCGTCGCTTGATAAAGTTAAGATTGAGCCTCTGTAGTCACTTGGACAATTTTAACGATGTCTTTAAAGGGTTAGTTCACCCAAAAATGAAAATTCTGTCAGTATTTACTCACCCTCATGTTTTTCCAACCCCGTAAGACCTTCGTTCATCTTCGGAACACAAATTAAGATATTTAAGATATTAAGATCACTCCTGTATACTAGTCCATAGGCTTCTTGAGGGAATGACTCTTGCTGGTATCGAAAAGTCATTAAAGACATCGTTAAAATACTCCAAGTGACTACAGTGACTCAATTTTAACTTTATCAAACGACGAGAAAACTTTTTGTGCGCAAAAACAAACAAAAATAACGACTTTATTTCAACTATTCACTTCCTTCTCTATGGGCCTGTAGTCAGTTAACATAGTGTGATTGCGTAGAGCTACGTCACACATAGGCTCACTATTGGCCGACGCTGGTCGTGTGTGATGCGTGTGACGTACAATAACAGAAGCTTACGCTATTAAACTAGTAACCTGACTCGCGCAGATGGAGAAATAAACGAATAGTTGAAATAAAGTCGTTGTTTTTGCGGACACAAAAAGTGTTCTCTTCGTTTGATAAACTTAAGATTGAGCCCCTGTAGTCACTTGGACTTTTTTAACGATGTCCTTTAATGACTTTTCGAGGCCAGCAAGTCATTCCCTCAAGAAGCCTATGGACTAGTATACAGGAGTGATCTTAATATCTTAAATATCTTAATTTGTGTTCCGAAGATGAACGAAGGTCTTACAGGGTTGGAACAACATGAGGGTGAGTAAATACTGACAGAATTTTCATTTTTGGGTGAACTAACCCTTTAATAACTTTTCGAAGCCTATGGACTAGTATGGAGGAGTGATCCAGCTCTCAGATTTCATCAAAAATATCTTAATTTGTGTTCCGAAGATAAACGAAGGTCTTACGGGGTTGGAACAACATGAGAAGTGAGAAAATACTGACAGAATTTTCATTTTTGGGTGAACTATCCCTTTAAGGAAATAGACTTCGTGTGACCATAGACTTTATTATGAAATAAAACAATTTGTTTTCTATACGTAGCTTTAATAAGAGCTTTTTTTTTTACAATTTGCTACTCAACTTTACCACATTCATGGACTAAAATTATGCAATTGTAATAGCATAAATAAATTCAGTTTTGATATAGAGTTTCCAAAGGCTTAATTGTAAACACAATTTTGTGCCATACCATAAAAATAAGTGACATAAAAACAGTAGTGTTGAATAATAATGACAGCGGTATTACATAAAAAATCATTTAACTCAAAAGCATTATATAAATATATATATAAAGCAAATAAAACATTATATATTGAAAATTTTTCGCCATTAAACCGTTATTGAATCAATTAAAAAAAAAATATCTTTAGAAATGCTTACATTTGTAAATTATTTGTCTCCGGGGGGTTGAATAATTTTAATTGAGTGATCATTGAGTGTGCTTGTTTCTGGGTTTATGTTCATGTGTTTAATTGAAATTAAAATTAAATCTGTATAATAGAAATGTATACAGATTTATCATATATGACTTATGACTTTAGACATCAGATAAATTGGTAGATTTAACAAATATAGTATATCGCCTCTTATTTGAGTCCTGAGCCAAAATACATTTCTGAATCCTGTTATTAATAACTTAAAACCATATTGAAGAAAGTACTTTCATCATGTGTTTGTTTTGGATGTGAATGCTGTCGCCATGTGTTGGTCTTATTGATTGCCTAACTGCTACACAACATTCATCAGTTCTCATCAAACATTTCTTAAACCACGAGCAAATACAGTGTGTTTTAACTTAAGCCCTGGAATCAGTGGAATCTGTGTGATGTGTAATCGCCCACAACTTCCAAAACCAATGATCAAAGTCAAACGACAGCACACACACACAGACACATATTACTTAATAACAGCTTGGTGTTTAGATAGGCAACTTCTGCCTAAAGTGAGGAAGCTACTTATCTGGGCTGTTTTATGAATTGATTTATGACTTTACTAACCTTTTGTGTGTAAAAATAAGTGTAACAATAACTTTGTTTTTCACAATCTTTGTTTACTAGAACAAAGACTTACTTTGATCAACTGCTGTAGAGCCTGTTCCTCAGCTGTCACGTTTCCCGATCTGTGTACGTCAAGTGAACTGAGTGAGTGAGTTTGCCTAGTGCCCAAATATTCCAGGTAAGTGCCGGTTAAGCTCGGTTTAACCATCTATAATGCAGTCAGAACAAAATGCACTATCACTCACTCCCACTCATTTTCTCACCCATCTTTAATTTCACTTAAATCTATCTCTGTTGTTTTTATCGACACATCTTTTCACAAAAGAGGCGTTGAAATAGTTGTTGGTGAAACCACCGTTCCATTGTCCTGCTTCCTTGTCACCTTTCGTTCACGCATACCTTTCTCACCTATTCTTCCACTTGGCAACAATAGTGATTTGTAGTTTTTGCCAACTTGTGGTTTTGCCACACATCCGTCGTGCTTCACTCACACCGCACTGTCTGTAAGCAGTCAGGAATGGCACAGCCTATCAACAGTTACTCTGGGCGCGTAAGATTTCGCATACACTTTATTTTAAGATGTCTTTGTTACACTGTAATTATACATTTAAAGGGATAGTTTCGAAAACGAACAGTATTTATATCGATTTTACCTCGTGTAACCACAGCCATGTCCAACTGATCTGAAGGCAAGTGATCGGAAGTGATTGCTACGTCACTCATTGTTTACACAGAGATTTCGTTTTTTGCCTTTCACTAAACATATTTACACTAGATATTAGGGGTGTAACGGTACATGTATTCGTATTGAACCGTTTCGGTTCGAGGCTTCCGGTTCGGTACGCATACAAACCGAACGATTGCTTGGACCATTTTTCTTGCCGGCAAAATTCGTGCTGACGCGGCCAACACAACGTTGCGCAACATCCAAATGACAAGGGTAATGAAAGCAGAACGAAACTGCGCTCCTCGTTATGTGCTTCACGGATCGTTTATCAGTTCGGACCAGCAACATCTGTGCAGCGCGAGCCGATCTCGATCAAGCAACACTGTTACCACACCGCGCTAAGAGATCCGGTAAAGAAAACATTTGAATTCGCCACTGAGGTAATAACATGGCTGCGAGATCTACACTGTAAAAAATTTCCGTAAAAATACGGTACAATGTACCATATAAATGTGAAGGATTTTTTCCGTATTTGTCTTTTACGGATCTTTTACCCTTATTTTGAATTTCGCGTTGCATTGTGGGAACAAGATCCCGGCAGCGCGAAAAGTTTAAGACGCATCCGCCATTACACACGCAGATGACCGCGGGCAAAGTTGCTTTTTAGAGCCGGATTTCGGGTGTGTGGAAGCCATTCTGACACTTATGTGGTAAAACTTAAACTTAAAAACGAAAATTATGTTTTGCTTGATGTCAAAAAAGCTGTTAACGTAACGTTATTTTTAGTTACCATCTGGCATTAACTGGTAGGCAAATGAATGTCGGAGCCGTCACGTTTATCATTTTATGCATATCGTCACACATTGAAAGAGTTAGTTAAGACTCGTGGAGGTTCTCGATTGTAGTGTCCTTGTTGTAATGGGCTTATTTACTTTTATTTGTCGTGATGCGGTTTATTTCTTGCCGAGCGAATCCGTTAACTAGCTAGTTGTGATAGTTCTAACGTTAGCTAGTGTTTTAGAGCAATTTAATGCCTTCAAGCAAAAGCAACCAGAGGAATCGTCAAGAAAAGTAAACGCCATTAAGACTTGCTTGATTTGAAAGGCATGAAGACACAACGTGAAGAGACTGTTTGTGAATATGCAGTAACTTGACCGGTACAGCTGGATCAAGGAAAACACCAGCACCTTTTCTGCCAAATGAGGTAAGTTAACGTTATGTTTACGTTAGACTTCATGTTTTTGTTTTAGATGACACACACGACTTTAAACCACAAATAATGAAAGATTAATTTACATTTAGCATGACTGCTATTATCTAAACTTCTGCCTGTAATGTTAGTCATTCTTTCCCTTCTCATTTGTTCATTTCATAATGTTTCTGTTGTTTTCTTATCTATTAACAGGACTTTTCTGCTGTAGTTTACATCCCAAGCACCACCTGCATGCTTCTTATGGGTTTGTATTTTGTTTTATTAGCATTATTATGAATGTTCAATACTGGCAAAACACATTTGAATTTAAAGTCTGAAGAATAAAGTCTGTTTATAGAAAAAGTTGGTTGCTGAATACCCCCTTCAAAGATATTTATGTTTACATGGTCGGTAGAAAAACAAATTGTATAGGGAAGATTTAAACAACTATGTTTAAAGCGTTTTTTTGAAGTGATCGTGTTGTTTTTCATTTAGTAATATCTTTTTCTGTTTCAGGTGGTGGACATTCAGGGTTGCTGTCATTCAAGAAGTTATTGACCACATCTCCTACCCTATTGAGGCAGTAAGATGCAAAATACCTGAAGAATATGGCACTTATCCTGGAGTTCATATAAAGGTAAGCAACACATTTTTAATCAAATTATTTATAGAACATGTTATTGTGATTCTGTTTATTTAGTTGAAAATAATGAAAAATATTAGAATGTAGCCTATAGTTGAGCATGCAGACAAGCTGACATGACATGCAATTGGAGTCCACTGGAAAAAAGTCTTAGCATTTTTTAAACAGTGTTTGAATTTGAGAGAATTAGGAATGGCTGATAATTTTTTTATAGTTGATAATTTAGTGAATGTAAAATACTGTACATTTGTTTGTCAACCTCAACCTGGTCTACATGATACTTTGTAGTTAATTTTCCTTCATTTAATTTCTTGTGTAGCTAAAAATATATCCTTTTTTTTTTCATTTCCAACTTTCCTGTGTAGAAATCCTGAACGAAGGTTGAAAAGGCTGAGATGAAGGAAACGTCCCCATTCCTCCAAAACTGCTGAAGTTCCTGTATGAACAACTTCGAAAAACCAGGTAAAGTTTCAAGCTTTTGTCAAATCTCAAAATGGAACTTTAACTGAACATACCGAAAAATGAACGTTTTTCATGCAAGTTGTTGAGATCTTAAAGGGATAGTTCACTTTGAAATACATTTTTGAAATCTTTTATACCTCAAGGACATCCAAAATGTAGGTGTCTTTGTTTCCACCGTATTTTCAAGTTTGATATTTTTAGGTCAAACCGTTCTTGTCTGTCAGTCATATAATGGAGGTTTATGGGGTTCACCCTGGGTCCCCCTAAAGAGCATGCACAGAGAAGTCCAAATTAAACATGATTTAATGACTCGTGAATGTAAGTACACATAGATGGCCTAAAACACGAAACGAGCGGTTTGTGTGAGAAAACGAACAGTATTTAAATTGTTTTTACCTCTTGTAATCACAGCCATGTCCAAGTGATCTGAAGGATCACTTGCGCAGACCGAAGCGCCCTGTGCCTTCAGATCACTTGGACGTGGCTGTGATTACAAGAGGTAAAAACAATATATATACTGTTCGTTTTCTCACACAAACTGCTTGTTTCGTGTCTTAGGCCATCAATGTGTACTTGCATTTAGGAGTCATTGAATCATGTTTAATTTGGACTTCTCTGTGCATGCTTTTTCAGTTTCACTTTTTCAGGGTGAACCCCATATACCTCCATTATATGACTTACAGACAAGAACGGTTTGACCTAAAAATATCAAAATTGAAAATACTGTGGAAACAAAGGCACCTACATCTTGGATGCCCTAGAAGTAAGATAAAAGATATCAAAAATTAATTTCAAAGTGAACTATCCCTTTAATGAAATCTGAGAGCGTTCTCTCCCTCTGTTGACAGCTCTCCCTCTGCTTACACCTACCACTTCAAGCTTCAGAAAGATAGTAAGATCATAATAAAAGTAACACAGTGTTAGAGTCCTATCCAAATGTGATGCGATAAGATTCTAGCAACAAAACATTTGTGCCACTTTATAAATTTGGGGTTAAACCACTGGAGTCACATGGGTTACATTTGTGTCTATACCTTTCTGAAACTTGAAAGTGGTAGTTGCCTAATCTGTCAATGGAAGGACAGAAATCTCAGAGTTCCTCAAAAAGATCTTCATTTTTGTTCTAAAGATGAATGTAACTCTTGTGAGGACGTGTGGAACAACGTGCGTGTGAGTAATTACAAATTAAAATTTTGGGGTGAGCTTATGCTTTATGTAATATTGTGTTCTCTTACAGAAAAATGGCATCAACACTAACATTTCACTCTTCTTTAATCCCTAGCTGGCATCTTGAGGAGGACGACCTCGCATCCAGTATGCTGCTGTGGGTGCCGCAGGATTTCGAACTCATTCGATCACTTGTCTCTATGCTTTTCGAACTGTGGCGACTAATCGTGCCTTGCTGTGGGTCAAGCCGCTGGATCTTCAGATCTTCTTCGATTTGCTTAATCCATCCTTTTTTTGGGTGCAGTGCGCTGGATTCTACACTGGGTTGGACGTTTCCTCCAGAGGACTTGTGTGGTATTCAATTTGCATCCATTCTGCACGTGTCCAAACATTTCACTCTATTGACTAGAAGTCTAAAGCAATTTTTAAAAGCAGAAGCCTTATCTTCATTGCATTTTGTTTGTTTCTGTATTGTATCGTATTCTATTAGTATTGCATTTGAAAATGTTTTGAATCTTGACTTTCACAGTTTATGAAGTTTTTTTTTTTTTTCCATTTTTTAAAAATAATTTTGTGAGCTATTTGGTACAACACCAATATTGTGCAAGTACCTGCTCGTTTTCTTTTTTTTTTTTCATTTCTCCCATGTTTGTTTAATGTCTTAACTTTTTCCACAATACAAGCACTTTTTTATGGTGCTTTATGGTGCTTTGCACATTGTTAAATTGTGTGTGCCTGTCTGTGTATATCAATTTTTACCCATTGAATGCGTTTTAACAAAAATAAAACATGTTCAATATGTATATATTGTTCTTGAATTATTTGCTACCAAAATATATGCTATAAAAATAGAAATTTCTGTATAAGGATTATCCGTGAATAGTACAGAAAATACGGAATTTTCCATTTTAGGTTTGACGGAAATGTCCGTCAATGGTACAGAAAAACTCATGTAAATCTACGGAAATATCCGTTCTAAGGTTTACGGAAGTGCCCGTACAAAAACGGAAAAAGTGCTGGTAATTAATTACCAGCACTTTTTCCGTTTTTTAACGGAGATTTTTTTAACAGTGTAGTGAGAAGCATTCACATTTCTCCATTATTAACCGTAGATCTCTATTAGATCAAACAGCGCTGTCATGGAAACCAGGAAAAATATTGTGCCGTGAATGAACTAGTAATACTTTACGTCCACAGACCAGCAACATTCACCATGGATTTAATATAGTAACACTAACTGGAGCCAGTTTGGCTGGAATGGTGAAATGCTTTCAAGTACTTCACACATCTTTTTCCAGCACTTCAAAATTCAAATATTATATAAATAAATATATATTTAAATGTTATTTTTAATGTGATGACCAAAACATTATTTGTTCATCCTTCAAAGATGACCCCCATTTATAAACCTGAAAGTTTCAAGATCTAGGAAAACTCACACTTATTTAAAAATATTTTTTCTTTAAACAAATAGGACATTTCTCTGGCATTTCTTTCTTTTTGCTGTATCGAAAACGTACCGAACCGTGACTTTAAAACCGAGGTACGTACCGAACCGTGATTTTTGTGTACCGTTACACCCCTACTAGATATATCGAAATCGTCTTCCATTGCGATTTCCTGTATATCTAAATATGTTTAGATCTTCACAGTGAAAGGTAAAACTTCTGAAATCTCTGTGTAAACAATGAGTGACGTATACGCAAGCGATCACTTCCGGCGCATGCGCAGACCGAAGCGCCTGTGCCTTCAGATCAGTTGGACGTGGCTGTGGTTACACGAGGTAAAAACGATATAAATACTGTTCATTTTCTCACACAAACCGCTCGTTTCGTGTCTTAGGCCATCAATGTGTACTTACATTTACGAGTCATTTAATCATTTTTAATTTTGACTTCTCTGTGCATGCTCTTTGAGGTGGACCCCCTAAACCTGCATTATATGACTGACAGACAAGAACGGTTTGACCGAAAAATGTCAAAATTGAAAATACTGGTGAAACAAAGACACCTTGGATGCCCTTGAGGTAAGCTAAAACATATCAAAAATTTATTTCAAAGTGAACTATCCCTTTAACAACTGTGTAATATTCAGGATAAAGTTTGGTTTAGGGTTGGTTGCATGGAAATATAGTTACTAGTACTAGTAACTACAAGTAACATATGTAACAATGACAATGTAAAATAAAGTGTTACCAAGACTGAATGATGCATGGGCTGTGCTCGAAGTGGGCCGGTACACTTCTAGATTTTGAATTCGAAATATCACATCATATTTTTTACATAGTATATAAGTGGGTTTTTCTACATAATATATTATTGGTATACATTTAATATTTTATCATACTTGGTTGATTTGATGGGGTATACAGTGATATTTAATCTTTATAATTTAGGGTGCATTTAAAAAAGATGTAAAAGGCTTGTTTAAAGAGGATAGTAATAG